TAGGCGGTCGATTTTTAGAGGGGTCGAAATTTTGGAGTTTTCACGGTACTAATTATTCCATTTCAATGAAACTTAGTACAAAGATGCTCTAGGACAATGTACAAACCTAATTAGTTTGGGGTAAAAATCTGTTCATATTAATTCCCTAATAAGCATAATAATTCATAATTTTTTGGTTCTAATCACATTTCAATTAAACTTGGAGACATAGATTTTCTGTTACATTGCGCAGACCTCATTAGTTTTACACTCAAATCTGGTCATATTAATTTTCTGATTTGCATAATTAGTTTTCAGCTAAGTAATTTCGAATTATATTTAATGTGTCTCCAATACTCTCAGCACATGGGAGTTCTTTCTAAGCTTTCTTTGATTACAAATGTAGTGCAAGGCAGAGAACTGTAACCTTAGTTTATAAACATATTTGGGGTACTTACCAATTAGAAAATATTGAACTCATTATTATTAATTAGAACTCACAATTATTTTTCAATACCTTTTTTGGATTGGTCAATTGGAAATATAATATTGTGAAATACATTATTTTAGCTGGAATTAATTTACGCTGAAAAGACTTTTCAGGTGCTTTGCATGGAATTATTTTCATTGATTTTTGATGAATTGAATGTGAAATATAGGAAAGAAAGTATATTCACTGGATTTTATTTTCACTGAAGCATCCCTTCAGCGAAAATAAATTCCAGCTGGTAATAAAGTATTCTACAGTATTTAGGAAAAGTTTATAAGGTTCCCAGGGTTCTGTCATTCACTGTACAAGAATCATTCTTTATATGTTCTCCTTATTTCTCATAAAGTCATAGACATAATTTTTTTTTGTATTATCATTCACAGTTCTGGGAAGTAATTTCTGACGAACATGGCATTGACCCAACTGGTACCTATCATGGTGATTCAGACTTGCAGTTAGAAAGAATCAATGTATACTACAATGAGGCCACTGGTGGAAAATATGTTCCTCGTGCTGTCTTGGTCGATTTGGAGCCCGGTACTATGGACTCTGTGAGATCAGGTCCATTCGGACAGATCTTCAGACCAGACAATTTCGTTTTTGGTGAGTATAGGACAAAGTGTTTTTACTTTGCCAATCTATCAATGTCATGATTTCTCTTACTTATACACTGAAGACTGCTGAATAACAAACAATTTTTGGTTTCCATTTATTTTAACCTTGTATCAGCCGTAAATATTGTATTTCTTTAATGAAAAGCAAATTTCATTTGTGCCGGGACACCAGATTTACAGGTATGTAATGGCAATCTTGATCTTCAACCTGAGCTTGCTCAGAGTCAACCTGAGCTTCAACTTGAGCTTGGGAAATTTACAGCAGAAGCTCAAAACAAAGTTGGGGCGCCGACTCTGAGCTCCAACCTGAGTGTCTAAGATCTAATCAGCCATTACATACCCTCAAAATTACTTATGCAAGCAGGTAATTTGAAGCATACGGATATTAATATTTCTACAATAGGCCTTTCATTCAATATTGTTTCTATAAACATGAATTACTCACTATTTCATGGAGGATTGAATGTTTTTTTATGGACATTTGAAAAAAAATCCCCTAGAAGACCTTGGACTTTATTCAAATCTAAAAAAGAGAATTTCTTGGGTATAGAAGGCATTTGGTGATGCCCATTACCTGTGAGTCTTTGTGTTCACTGTTACACGTCCATTAATGTGTTGTGATTGGACAAGTTGTTTTCAATTATTATTTGAAATGTATGAAACATTTAGAGATACTTTATAAAAAACATTCATTGCTTCATGAAACAGTATAAATATGCTCATGTTCACAGATTGCCATAGTTACACTCTGTTTCTTACAGGTCAAAGTGGTGCTGGTAACAACTGGGCTAAAGGTCACTACACAGAAGGTGCCGAGTTGGTTGATTCAGTCCTTGATGTTGTTCGTAAGGAGGCAGAAAGCTGTGACTGTCTGCAGGGATTCCAACTTACACACTCCCTTGGTGGTGGTACTGGTTCTGGTATGGGCACTCTTCTCATCAGCAAGATCCGTGAAGAATATCCAGATCGTATCATGAATACATTCAGTGTTGTACCATCACCAAAAGTATCAGACACTGTTGTTGAACCATACAACGCCACCCTCTCAGTTCATCAACTTGTTGAAAATACAGATGAAACCTTTTGCATTGACAATGAGGCCCTCTATGACATTTGTTTCCGTACCCTGAAACTAACAACTCCTACCTATGGTGACTTAAATCATTTGGTATCTGCAACCATGAGTGGTGTTACTACCTGTCTGCGATTCCCAGGTCAGTTGAAC